TTTTGGATATTACCACCCCCCTTTTTTTGATAATACCCCCCATTTGTCCCTTTTTTAGAGAACCTTCCCCCATTTGTCCCTTCTTTTGATATTTCCCCATTTTCCCGTTTGTTTAAAAATTCTAAAATATTCATGTTTTCAAGTTTTGTTTCGATTTTCTTTTTAAAAAAAATCACAATCCAAAAAAGTTTGCCTTTTCCCACATGTTGTTTGGAGTTTAAAAAAAGTTCATGTGTTTCAAAAAATGTTGCCATTTTCATATTTTTTTCATATTTTACGTAAGTTATTTGTGTTTCAAAAACATCATTTTTTTAGAAAAATAAAATTTTCAAAATTATTTGTGATTTTAAAATTTGTTCATTTTTTTGAAATTGTTCGTGTTTTTGTTAAAAAAAATGCAATTTCGAAAAATGTCAGTATTGCAAAAAATGTTCGCATTTGTTAAAAAATATTTTAGAATTTCGAAAAATGTTATTGCGCTTTGCTTGTGGACCGTGATGATGGGCCTTCCATTTCATTTCATACGCGCGTGTACTAACACGCGTGGGGTAACACGACAGGTGCACAAGTCGTCGACGGACGCGGCGTCGTCGCTGCTGGTGACGGCGCTGAACGAGGGGCGCGACGTGATCCTGGACGGCACGCTCTCCTGGGAGCCCTTCGTGGAGCAGACCATCGCCATGGCCCGGGCGGTGCATTGCCAGCGCCACCGCATGGGCGTGGGCTACAAGGTGGACGAGGACGGCACCATCACCGAGAACTACTGGGAGCCCGTCCCCAACGACCAGGACTTCGTGGCCGCCAACAGGGACAGGAAGCCGTACCGGATCGAGGTCGTCGGCGTCGTCTGCGACGCCTACCTCGCCGTCGCCAGAGGGATCAGGTACCACATTATCTGCGTAGTTTGATTTATGTGTGCGTGTGTGTGTGTGTGTGTGTGCAAGTGTTGACAGTGAGTGAGATGATTGTTCCCTGCTCTCCAGGCGAGCGATCATGACGGGGAGAGCGGTGAGGGTGAACTCGCAGCTCACGTCGCACAAGAGGTTCGCGGCGGCGTTCCAGAAGTACTGCCAGCTTGTGGACGGGGCCAAGCTCTACAGCTCCAACTCCTTGGGCTCTCCACAGGTACTCACAATTAATCAACTAGCCAAGACAAGCTAAGCTCAGCTTAATTTGTACTCAGTTGTTAATCAGCTAGCCACGAATTTCTTCTCTTAGCTGATCGCGTGGAAGGGCGACATCAACGGCAGCCTGCTGGTGGAGCCGCGCGAGATCGACTGCCTGGACAAGGTGAGCAACCTCAACGAGGGCGCCACCTCCCTGCACGACCTCTACCCCGGCGGCGCCACCACCTGCGGCTCCCGCTCAATCTGGGACGACATGATCGTCGCGCCGTCCCGCGCCACCGTCCAGCGAGAGATCCGGGAGGCCATCCGTTCCGTGGAGCCGACGGCGACGCCGACCGCCTTGTAGTTGTAGCATCCATCCATGTTGTCATGTTGATGTTGCGCGCGCACTGCTGGCCGGGTGTTCTTGAGCCTTGAAAATGATGGCGGCCATAGTTTTGAAGCGGCAGACGGAGGCGAACTGGGGCAACTTAAGTTGCTGTGTGTGGGTTTTTTTGTGGTATATAACGGTCGTTGGTACATACACCAATGTCTGCAGCTAGCACTTCAGATGAAATGTATGTTGCGACATCCATTTGAGGATAAAAAAAATCTTGTAATTAATTACCTGAAGAATGATATTTCTATATACATAAGTCCAACTTTTAACAATATTTTAGCCCTTGCGTTTTCATAAATAAAATGTTTGTAAGTTGACGAAGTGGATCTATCAGATGATGGAAACCAACTTTTCCCCCCTAAAACATGGATAGATGACATACTAAATCTTGCAAAGAAAGAAAATGAAGAAAACTGAGAATATAAGAAGGGAAAACCTATTAGAAGAAATAAAAATAGTAGAAATAGGTGATAGTACAACTCTACATGGCCTTTCTGCCAAGACATAAGGCACCCGGTTTTCATTAATTAACTGGGTAATTCTCTTCTCTTTAATTAATCGATCTGACAAATCTTTCGAATCCATTTCAAAACAAATTGATCACAAGTGAGAGTTCAGCCTTGTGGTGGAATGCAGAAGATGCTTGAGATGGACAAGGGTGCTATAGCCTGGTGGCAAGGAGAGTAGATAAAGACTTCTTGTCACATATAACAAAACAAAACTCCAGATGTAAATTTTCTCAGCTGCAAGGATCACAGTTCACAACTAATTAAGGCCATACAGCTACAGTGGTGGTTGATGCCTTTTCATGCCCCTTGTTTTTTTTAAAGCACTTTCATGCCCCTTGTCGCTTCCTGCTGTTTGTGGGAAGAAGTTTATGGGGTCGCACATTATTGCAGTCATTTTCACTTTTTCAGGGTGGTCCATGGACATGTTTGGCAAGATTTTGCAGAGCCAGGTGAGTGAGACTTACGATAGCAGGTGGATGTGGGCTATCCGATCTTGGCATCTTTCCCATGTGTCGTTGTCAATGGTGTTTTGCCTTTTTTTCCATGGCATCTTGCCTCCATGTATCTTTGTCGATAGTGTTTATGCCCTTTTTATCATGATATCATTGGCAAACCTTAGAATATGCTATTTGCACATAGCAGAAAAAAAAACATAGAAAATACTGCTCTTGCTTGCAATTTTGGGCCATCCCAATAAACTCAGTTAGTTTTAGTTTTTGTCTTTTTGAGTGGTCCCATTGTGTTGTTAGTTAGGCCTCCAAGTTAGTCTCGGTTCAGATCTGGGGCGCCTAAGCGAGACGTAGGGAACCTTAGAAAATGCTATTTGCTCATAGCAAAGAAAAAACTTAGAAAATACTAGCTTGGCTTGCAAATATGGGCCATCCCAATAAGCTCACCCATTTTGTAGTTAGTTCCTGTTGTTTTCTTTTTGAGTAGTACCCATTGTGAAGTTAGTTAGGCCTTTCCAAGTTAGCCTCGGTTCATATCTGGGGGAGCGCCTATAGGGCACAGCAAGCGCTGCGAAGGAAACGGGCGCGCACCACCTGCTCACCTTATGGGCCGGCCCATGTGTGGCCGGGACGCCGCCGGTTTTTTTGTGTGGATGTTTTCTTTTTCTTCTTTTCCTTCTTTTTTTTTCTTTTTTTCAATAACTCGGGACATAAAAAAGATGCTCGGTAATTCAAAATTTGTTCATGAATTTGGCAAAAAATGTTCACAAATTTTAAAAATATTCATGAATTTAATAAAATGTTCATGATTTCAAAAAAATGTTCATGCAATTGAAAAATGTTCACAAAATAAGTAGTTCATGATTATAGAAAAATGTTCTAGAATTCAAAAACTATTCACGAATTTGTAAAAAAAATGATACAGAATTTTTAAAAATGTTCATAATTAAAAAAACTCAAAGAAATGTTTGCTAATTTGAAAAATATTCACGAATTTGGAAAAAATGTTCACGATTCAAAAAAATGTTCACGATTTTGGAAAAAAATGTTTATGATTTTCAAAAAAATGTTTTCTAATTCTAAAAATGTTCATGAATTTGAAACAAATGTTCATGATTTTGAAAAAGTAGTCTTCCATTTCAAAATGTTCATTATTTCAAAAAAATGTTCATGATTTGGAAAACATGTTCATGACTTAAGAGAATGTTCACAAATTTCTAAAAGAATTGTTCATGATTTCGAAAAAAAAAATCATGAGTTTTTCAAAAATGATCACAGTTTCAAAAACAAAATGTTCATGATTTAAGAGTAACAATTTAGTAAAACAAAACCACAATTATGGAAAAAATGTTCATTATTCAAAAAAATACGATTTTCAAAACAAATCGCGAATTAATAGATTTTCGAAAATTGAAAAACAAGAATAAAAATGAAAACATAAAAGTAAATAAAAAATGAAAAGAATACAGAAAAAGGAAAAGAAAAAACGAAAAAAGAAAAAGGAAAACCGAAAGAAAAACAAAAAACTCGGTTCAGGGAAGGTTCTAGAACCTTCACAAAATCGGTTGAGGTTAAACCCCGAAATGGCCGGCCCATAGAAACAGCAGCGCGAGAGGCGGGGGTACGCGCCACGGCGCTCGCGGGCGCGGTACGCGCCGGAATTCCCTATGCTCTTTGCGTCAAAGTGTGGAGGAATCGCACAGGGGACTAGCGAGAGATTTTGGGCCGGGCCTGTAGCGTCAACCAGGTTCCGGTTTTGGGAACCTTCTAGAGCGTTCTCAGCCGGTTCTTACTAGTTTTGGGAACCATCTAGAAGGTTCCTGAACCGTTTTTTTTTCTTTTTTATTCTTTCTATTTTTTCTTCTTCCTTTTTCTGTTTTTGTTTTCTTTTCGTTACTCTTTTGTTTTCTTTCAGTTTTCCTTTTCAAGTTAATTTCTCTTTTCAAAATATTTCTTTATTTGGGCTTTTGTTTCTTTTTCTTTCAAACTTTTTTCAAAATATTTCATGTTTCCAAAAAATGTTCAGTTTTCAAAAAAATCTTCTCAAAATCCTAAAATTGTTTAAAACTTTGAAAATTCAGAAAATGTACAGGATTTAAATTTTTTCTTCATGTATTAAAAAAAATACATGCTTCCAAATTTGTTCGGTATTTTTCAAAATTGTTCTCCGTGTCAAAATTTGTTCTGAAGATTCAAAAAATTTCCATGCTTTGAAATTTGTTTTCCGTTTCTAAATTTGTTCTCAAGATTCAAAAATATTTATTGCCTTAAACAATTGTTCACAAATTCCAAAACATTCTTGTTTAAAAGAAAATTCAGTTTTCACAATTTTTTTTTCTCAAAATTCAAAAATTGTTCTCATTACAAAAACATTCAAAATTCAGAAAATGTATCGGATTTTAATTTTTTTCACCTATTCAAAACAAATTTACGCTTCCAAATTTGTTGGGGATTTTCTGAAAATTGTTCCCCAATTAAAAATTTGTTCACAAAATTCAAAAAATGTTCGTGCTTCAAAAATTGTTCTCCAAATTTGTACACAAATTCAAAACTTTCCCATTTGGAAAATTTGTTCACAAATTCAAAATATGTTCGGAGTTTTTAGAAAATGTGTCTATTGTTCAAGATTTGTTCACAAATTCATAAACTGTTCCTATTTTGAAAAATATGTTCACAAAGTCAAAAATTGTTCACTGTTTTTGAAATTTGTCCATGATTGTCATAAATTGATCGGTATTTAAAAATGGTCCGGTTCTTCAAGGTTTGTGCGGAAAATCAAAAAATGTTCATGCTTTAAATTTCGTTCACAAATTCATTTTTTTTAACATTTTGTAAAAAAGGTTCCTGTTTTTCAAAATTTCTACACATCTTCAAAAATCAAACCCTTTTTACAAGTGTGGTTAAAAAATACACAACTTTTCAAACTCGTACGTGCTTGGCAAAAACGTTCGTCATTTAAAAAAATTATTTAGTATTTTGAAGAAATGACAAAAAAAGGAAAATAACCCGATCAGGCGATTGTATCTAATATTAAAGTATTTGCGTTGCATGTGCATCACGAAGAGCAGTAAGGCACAGTTGCTAGCTAATTGGCTTTGCAGCGGAGCAGTAAGGCACTTTTTTTAACACTGCTAGCAGGGCCGGCCCAGTCGAAGCACTGCTCTATGCGAAGCCCCGACTTCCTGCCGCATAATGCGGCGTATAGGAGGTCCCGTACGCGCCGTATAGGATCCCCACAGATCTGCGATGCCCCAATGTCTCATTTTTAGCGAGACGTAGGGACCCTCGCATAAAAGGCAGCGCGAGATGGGTCGGCCCAGGTACGTTGGAGGCCAAAACCTCGTTTTTTTCCTTTTATTTTTGTTTATACTTCCAAGTATTCTAAATAAATATATTATTGAAAACATTTTAATAAAATATTTGCAAAAAATGGCAAGCAAGGTTTTGAAAAATGTTTTATGAAAAAATATACAATGTGTGAAAAAGTTGATCATATATTTAAAAAATGTTAATCAAGCATTTAAAAAATATTAAACAAGAATTTGAAATATGTTAATCAATCAATAGAAAATTCTTAAATGTGTATAAATTTTTTTATCATGTATTTAAAATGTTTATCTTGAATTTGAAAAAAATTAATCAAGATTTAAACTTTTTTAAATGGGTATAGAAAAAATGTTGACTACGTATTACAAAAATGTTACTCCTGCATTTCGAAAATGTTAATCAAGCACTTGAAAAATGTCAAATGTGTGTAAAAATGGTTGATGATGTATTAGGAAATGTTAATCTTGTACTTAAAAAATGTTGATCAAGCATTTGAAAAAAAATGTTAAATGTGTATATAAAAAATGTTGACCATGTATTCAAAAAATGAAATGTTGTATTTGAAAGATGTTAAATGTGTATTGGATATGTACCAAAAAGTTACAATTTATATGTGAAAAAAAGTAGACATCCAAAAATCTATGTTTTCAAAAATTGTTAATCATGTATTCGAAAAATGTTA